CATCCTCATATAAATATGACTGCTTTGGGCACATGTACAGATTCCTCATGAGCACAATGCAGTGTCCTGAAATTCCCATTCTTCTCAATGTCATCCATAGTTGTTTTTTTATGATGCACGCAGTCAAATGCATTTGCATAGTCAATAAAATACAGGGAGACATCTTTCTGGCCGTTCCTGCTTTGAGCTAACAGCCATCTCCTACTGCACTGATATCCCTCAGCCACGCCCTCCTCTGGACCTGCTGGGCTTTCAAGCAGCTTCCTGTCAATCTCCTGTTGCCTGTTTGAAGGGTCTTTGTCTACATTTTACTTGCATATGACATTAATGACATTGATGGATAGTTTCCACATTCTTTGGTGGAATCTCCTTTCTTTGGAATGGCCACAGATAAGAATATCTCCCGGTTGGTTCATGTAACTGTCTTCCACATGTCTTGTTTTAGACAAGAGAGGGCTTCCAGTGCTTCATCAGCTGATTGAAACATTTCAACTGGTATTCTATCAATTCCTGGAGCCTTGGGCTCTGATCGAGCCTTTGGTGACGCTTGGACTTCTTCTTGGAATTGTGTTGGGTTTTGATTACATGCTACCTCTTGAAATGACTGACATCGATCAGTTCTTTTTGGTATAGGGGCTCTACTGATTCCTTCATCTTCATTCGGTACTTCCTTTGTGGTTCAACATTTCCTCCACAGAATCCTTCGATATTGCAACCTGAGGCTGGAAACTCTTCTTGGCTTCTTGAGACTTGAGGCATGCTCAGCAGGTTCTTCCTCTCAAACCCCAGGTCTTTGCACGGTTTGCTACCATAGTCGACTGTGTCTTCTCGAGCTGCCCTTTGAAAATGTCTGTTCAGCTGTTCCTTCACCCTTTCTTCCTTTGTTTCCCCCCTCTACATTCAAGAGCAACTTTCAGCGACTCTTCTAACTCCACTTTGATCTTCCTTCCTTGCCTTTTTCTTGACCTTTTGCTTTCTCCTTATATGATGATGTCATCCCACCACGGGCTAGGTTCTTGGCCATTAGTTTCCAATGTGTCAGATCAATTCTCGATTGAGGCATTCTCAAAATTCAGGTGGGATAGACTCACGGTTGTATTTTGGCTCTCCTAGGCTTGTTTTAATTGTCTTCAACTTCAATCTGAGCTTAAAACAAAACAACAAAAAACTCACTGCCATCGAATTGATGGCGACTCATAGCAACCCTATAGGACAGGATCGAATTGCCCCTGTGGGTTTCTGAGACTGTAACTTTTCTTTTTAATAAATCATTTTATGGAGGGCTCTTATAGCTCTGATAACAATCCACACACCAATTGTAGCAAGCACATTTGTACATTTGTTGCCATCATCATTTTCATTTTTTTATTTAATTAATT